AAAGAAAAAAAAAAAAAAAGTCTGCTCTGTGAGCTTAATATAGATTCTGAGAAAGAATTTTAGAAATCACAAAAAGCCTATTTTTTCTTTATTTTTTAAAAAGTAAATGTATTTATATTTCTTTTTAAAAATCATTAATATTTACAATGGGAACATTAGTAACAAATGTTACTTTTTGAAAAACATTTCTAGAGTAATAAAATGAGAGGAATACATTTTAGTTTAGGAAGTAAATTACATAATTGTACACAACATTCTTTTGAAGAAAATATAAAAATAAGTTGGCTGGATGACATTTCTAATGGGTAGCAAAGTTTATGATTTTTATTGATCAGGAAAGAGGCCTCTGGTAGTGTTTTGAAGAGCAATATCTTTTTACATACTCATAACATGGTATTGACTGCCTAACATTATCTCATTTCTAGTTCTAACAACCTACGCAGGTAAAATTATTCCAGTTTCACAGATGAGGGAACTGAATTTCAAAGTTGCTAAATAACTGTCTTCACATGTGGAGGCTAGTAATTGCAGAACTGAGTTTCAAACTTAGGTCTGCCGGATCCTTCCGATCCTTCCGCTGTACCTCTTATGAAGACAAAAGGTATACAATGTTGCCTGGCCAGACCGGTTAGTGTGGCTCAGTGGATTGAGCCTTCTCCCATGGACTGAGAGGTCCTGGTTTGATTCCCAGTCAGGGCACATGCCTGGATTGCCGGCTCAATCCCCAGTAGGGGGCGGGCAGGAGGCAGCCAATAAATGTCTCTCTCTTTCTGCCTTCCTCTCTTTCTCAAAAAATCAATAAAAACATACGTTAAAAAAGGTATAAATATCAAATTTGTGGTAACATGAAGCAGGGAAACTATGGTAAAACAGTGAACGAGAATCAGGAGCTGGAATGTGTGGATGATAGGTCAGAGAAAACAAGATGAAATTCTGTTGAAATTCATAACAAGTATTAAAAGAAACCTTTAAAAATCAAACATATAACTAACATGTAAACATGGTCACATGTATCCTAAAGACCATGTGATTAGTATCATAAAATTTGGTTGTAGGCTTTATTAGTCAGTAATATTGTTATTAAAATAAATGTAATTTTAGACTGCATTAATGGATATATAGACAAGCAAAAAATAAGATAATTAGATTGTTTTCAATTGTTGAGAGTGTTTTCAATGTTAATCTGGGGTGCCATAATCTAAAACACATGTTGAGCCCTGGCCGGTTTGGCTCAGTGGTTAGAGCGTTGGCCCCACAGACCAATGAGTCTCGGGTTTGACTGTGGTCAAGGGCATGTACCTCTGTTGCAGTTCGGCCCCGGCCCTGGTCAGGGTCCCGTGGGAAGCAACCAGTCTATGTGTCTCTTTCACATTGATGCTTCTCTCTCTCTTTCTCTTTCCCTCCCCCCCCCCACTCTATCTGAAGATAAAAATAAAAATATCCTCAGGTGAATTAAAAAAATAAAACACATGTTGACAAACTGGCAAATGTTGAGTGACATGTTGTTTTTCCTTATATACCATCATTTTACAGCACATCTTTTTCTATGATAGCTTTATATATATATTCCCAAAGTATACTGGCACAGCCCTCCCTGACCAAGTATCTCAGTTGATTGGAGCATTGTCCCATATACCAAAAAGTGGCGGGTTTGATTCCTGGTCAGGGCATATAGAGGAAGCAACTCATCATTGTTTCTGTCTCTCTCTCTCCACCTAAAAATCAATTACAAAACAAACAAACATATCCCCTGGTGAGGATTAAAAAGTAAATAAAAATATACTGGCTCAGTAAGAAATGAAATGTCCTAGTTTGGCTGTATGAGAGAAATGGTTCAGAATGACACATTGACTTCCAAGTTATATGTTTATATCTATTTTATATATTACAAAAGTTTATAGATTTTCAATGAGAATGCAAAAATTCTTTCATTAACACTTTTTATATCCACACCTGTTCTTTCTGATAAAATGTGTATTTTCCAAACATATATATTTCCAAATTTTTATTGTGCTTTTGTAAGATGCTTTTCTTTGATGGCCATAAATGCTGAAATTACTTCCTTAATGAGAAGAATTTTAAGTGTAAGCGAGCCTTTTAGTTAAAGTATACAAACTGAGACATTCTTAAAGTTTATAACATATTTTGTGCTTAGATCCTCTGAGCATCTTATTTTCATAGCAATTAAATAACTATCCATGTTACATTCCAATTATTTTCAATGGATATTTATAGCAAAGAAAATAATGTATTTTTTTTAAACTTACTTCAAAGAGATTGAATAATGCTTCCTTAAAAACATATTTAATATAATTAAACCTAATAACTGTCTTTTTGCTCTATACCTGAGACATAATTAGTGGAGCCTCATTCAGAATGTTTAAACATAGGAAATACAACATTAAATCATGTAAAAAATATTGGCTCAGATTTTCTTTTTGAAAGAGAAAGGTTATTTGCACCCCTGATCCTTAATGGAGAAGTTTTCTTTGTCAAAGTGTTTTTGTTAGCTGACCAACAGTCAACCTATGAAGAAAACACAAAGACATTCTTGAGTGATTGACCAGATGATTCAAACCTGATTTCAGTAATGAAAGGATCAAATTTAAGATTAAATGTGACCTCTTCGGAATGCATTTGCATTTATAGTTATCTAGCAAACATCCAATTTCATTGTTACCCTCAACAGTCTTTATTTGTAGCATTTTCTAGAGGTCAATGGCTGGTCTTTGGAATCACTCCCAGAAGAATACATAAAAATTTACTACTCACTTCATGGAGTCTGCCTACGTCTTGATATTACATGACTTTGCTGTAGGCCTTTTAACATTGAAAGTGCAGAACAAAGCATTTTTTTTTTTTGTAATTTCTGAGATGTATGTAGAATATTATACAACTAGCCAGCTAATAAAAGAGGGTAAGAAGAGCCACGAAAACAGCCTGGCTGGTGTGGCTCAGTGGATTCAGTATCGTCTCATGGACTGAGAGGTTCAGTTTGGGTTCCGGGTCAGGGCACCTGTTGGGTTGTGGGCTCCATCGCCAGCAGGAGGTGTGCAGGAAGCAGCCAATACATGTTTCTCTCTTACATTGATGTTTCTATCCCCCTCTCCCTCTCTCTCAAAAAAAAAAAAAAATCAATAAAAACATATTTTTTAAAAAAGCCAAGAAAACAGTATATCTTTAAGTATGTGGCAAACATTCTCTAAATCAATGTACAGAAAATAGTTCAGTGGCATTGTTCCCATTTTTCATGACTTTAGGACTTTGATGGGCTACAAAATATTAATATTTATAGGTTCATATTTTCTCTAACACTATAGCAACTGGGTGCAAAAAACCACAACTATTGTATCAATTAAAGAAAAATATTTTCCAATAGTTTATCCAAGTTTCTAATTTAATCAATTTTGATTGAATGTCTAAAAGAATTCTCAATCTTTTCTTGGACTATCACATACCAGTGAGTTCTAAGGATTTTTGTTCCAGGACAAAAAGAAGAACAAGAATAATTTCTCTTTCCTTCTCAGTATCACAATTCTAATCTTCACACACACACACACACACACGTGCAGCTATATTAACATATATTTGATTCTCTCCATAAACGTATACAAAGTGCTCTTCATTTCTTTTTATCATAAACCCCTTCATCTTTGTTGCTTGTCAAAAATAGAAAGGATGAGACAAGCTCAGGATATTCTTTAAAAATAAACAATGTTTTTAGGATGCACTAAGTTGTCCTGAATTGCTTTAATGAACAAATGGTGTAGTCACAATTGTCCAGTCCCTTATCTAGTCAAGTGTGTTTACCATATAGATACAAATACCACAAGGGCCTCACTGAGGACACTTTAGTATTACTCGACATAATGGTAATAGAACCTATGGAAAAATTATACCAACTATTTCCAGGTAGCATAATGTATAGTCTCAGACTCATATTAGAGAACAGAAAGCATACATTGTGTTAGGAGCAATCTCTACACAAGGTAAAAGGACATTGGATGTCAGAACATCTCTCACTCTGACTTTGCTATGAACTCACTCTGAGTATAGAAAAGACAACTGATTTCTATGTTTCTCACTTTTCTCCTTTATAAGCTGTTCATTTAAACTCCAAAAAAGTATATGATAAATCACAATGATTCCAATCACATGTCTTTTAATACAAAACATATAAAATCAAGTTCAAAAAATTTCTGTATATACTGAAAATGTTTACAGGAATGAACTAACTATAGGCCTTCTCTAATTTATTCTATTAAATGCAGGTGCCCAATGTAACCTGAAAATACTGAACATAACTATTCCTTTTTTTTTTGCAAAAGGAAAGCTAGAAAAAGACTGCTTCCCACAGACAATTTATTAATAATAGGTGCTCAATTAAGTGTTCTTATACAATGACTAATGTCTCCTTTCATATAAATAATCAAGAGAGAGATTTTATAGGTGCTTTTCTTTCTATAGTTCCACCTACACAAAAATTCTGTTGAAAAGACATCATTTCTATGAGGAGGTATTCATTGTAGATGTACAGGCGTCTGTGGAAACCTAAGTTTACAAGAAAAAAGGACAGATTATCATTTTAACTAACTGCATATTCGCACAGATGCTTAATAAAAGCTATCTGATGATATAATAAATGACCAGTCCTTGAGGAAGTGTACACAGCGGGCAACTATTTTTCAAGACTTACCATCCAATAAACTAAATTTTCTCTTTTAGTCCTTCATGCCATCTTTTTAACATTCAGTTGAAATTTTGAAGCAAACACAATACCATTAAAGATATAAATGAACACATTAACTGTGAACTTATATTCAACTTCAGAAGTTGAAATAAACACAAATGTAAATTAAAGTAACATTATGACAACAGTGTGTAAATCAAATCTGCCAATATAATTCACTTTTCTTTTAAAATATCCCATCTGTTGCTTTCTGTCTACAGGACAAAGGTAGAAAAGAGGAAGGTAACAGAAAAGGAAACAGGAAGACCTGTTTCAGTAACTGGACATATTGATTTAATTGGCTAAGAAGTCCAAATGCTAATACTCCTAATAATCAGCCATTCTTTTTGTGTTTTGGTAACGTAAATCCTTATACACTTTATATCAAATGGAATTTTTTGATTCACATCTGATATTTCAAAGTTTCCATTTTTGAATTCCCCTAGTCTTATGTGGGTATCACATTGTCTACTTTGTTCGAAAAGTATAACATTTTTCCCAACATCTAGGGCTCCATGATGTAAAATGTCATTTTGCCGATCTTCTGTTCCAGTACTCACTTTAATTTTTTTAATTACAATTGGATTTGCAAATACAATCACAAAGGTGTCTCCTTTTGAAGGTGATTTTCCCCAAAAGTACTCATCAACACTACTATAAGCCTTGCTTGCATCATAATTTTCAAAAACATTCATGTTGGTATATAGACTTGCAGGAGGGTTATCAGGGATGTCAAATGACTCCTCTTCAAAATCATCATCCTTCAGCTTATTCTCTGTCCCTTTAAAGGATGAATAATAACCCATGTGCTGAAAGAGAGACGGTTTAAAGCGGATCACATTTTTCTGAGCCAGCAGACCTTGGAAATGAGTCAACAGCCAATCACAAGGCATTTCTTGATAAAACATTAATAAAAAATGTGCCAACCGTGGGAGATCATGTGAATGATAAAGTTTTCCAATGTAGCCAAGCTTAGAAAACTCAAGAGTTACCCAGTAAGTTCCTTCTAGAGATGTAATGACTTTCTTGATGGCCGTTAAGAAATTTTTTGAACATCGAACATCATCTTCAAGCATTATGTAATAGTCTGAAGTATTGGCACAAAAATTAAGCAGAAAAGCGTAATCTACATTTTGCTTGGAACGAAATCTGACTCTATCTTCTGGATCGTTGTAATTTCTTTTAAGGCCATCCAGGATTGGGTAATATTCCTCTGGAGCATGTATGACTATTAATCTCCCTGCAATAATATGGTGGGCAAATTTCTGAGTAATATCCTGGACCATGGTCTCACACCAGGATGAATTGAAGTCTGCTAGATGAACCACCACTGAGATTTCCTTCAGCTCTTCGTAGCTGGATTGCTCAAAAATGGATTTAATCGTCTCAAGTAAATAATTTCCTTTTTTTCGTTTCACTGATGAAAGTCCAATTGTAAGGAACCCTGAGCAAAAGAATTCAGAAAGATGTCAAATTAAATGTAAAATACGTTTTGAATAACACAGAAAAAGAAACAAAAGGCTATTTCCCCCTTAGGACTGCTACTCTATTAAGTAAATGTAGTAAATGATTATGTATAGAACATTTTGTAATTAAAATATTATGCTAAATACATAAAAGCTATAGTATTTTATACATAATTGATATTTCCTATGGGAAAAATTGCATATTAAGAACAATGACATATGAGTCCTATTGCTCTCAAAATTTTATGAAATAAAAAACATGGTTTAAAGTGTTCTGCAGGTTAATGTTCTCATATATCCCCATTAGAGAAGATAAATATTTAGATAATATCCACACTATTTTTTTTTTCTTTATTGATTTTAGAGAGAAAGAGGAAGGGAAAGGGAGAGAGAGACAGAAACATTAATGAGTGAGAACATCGATTGGCCACCTCCTGCATGCTCCCCACTGGGGACTGGGCCCACAACCTGGGCATGTGCCTTGACTGGGAATTGAACCAGTGACCTCTTGGTGCATGGACTGACACTCAACTGCCAGGCCCACACTATTTTTTAAAAAACTACAACAGGAGGAGGAGAACAAAGTAATCACACATTATGACAAAGAAAATTAAGAGTAACTCATTCTTTCAATTATCTTTAAATTTTTCATAGCACACATGTTATGTTTTCATTTTTCTTTGATCATGGTTATTATATATTTTTTCATGGTCATTATCTTATATCAAAAGAATTTATAATTGGACTTCAAAACCTTATTTTGAAATTTATTATGTTCATTAGAAGGCAAACAATTTCGAAAAAGATACTAAATCTAAAATTGATAATTGAATATTTCAAAGACATAAAATAAAATCTGGCGAAGTGGCAGTTTGCCTCTGAGAAGTGTTAGCTGTCTCTCTATTGAAATATTTTCACATTTGTTTTTTGTTACAGATGTTTCTCCTTTTATCCCCATTAACACCCTCATCCCCCTCCCTCCCTGCCCCGTCCCCAGCTTTGTTGTCTATGTCCATTGTTCATGCATACATGCATATAAGTTCTATGGTTTATCTCTCCCGCACCACCCCCTCTTCTAGGGATTGTCAATCTGTACCCTACTTCCACATCTCTGGGAATACCCTGTTCTTCAGACTGTTATGTTCATTATATTCCACAAATAAGTGAGTTTATGTGATACTTGTCTTTCTCTGCTTGGCTTGTTTCGCTTAGGATAATACTTTCCAGGTCCCTCCATGTCATCTCAAAGGATAAGAGATTTTTCTTTCTTACAGCTGCATGCAGACTAGTGCAGCCACTATGGAAAACACAATGGTGTTACCTCAAAAAATTAAAAATTGAACTGCCATTTGACCCAGTGATTCCACTTCTAGGAATATACCCTAAGAAGCCTGAAACACCAATCAGAAAAAATATATGTACCCCCATGTTCATATCAGTACTGTTTACAATAGCTAAGATCTGGAAACAGCCCAAATGTCCATCAGTAGGTGAATGGATAAAAAAGCTGTGGTACATATACACAATGGAGTATTTTTACTTTTTAAAGTTCACACTTTCACCACGACTGAAATCTAAATTAAACTTCAGAACTGCCATTTGGAAAGCAGGATGATCTATTCACCAAGATCACTATTTTAATACCTACCTAATGTCATTTGTGCAATATGAAGAAAGCCCTTCCAAGAAAAATCTTTTTTTATTAGTCTGTCAGAGTGGTGGAGATTTACCTCTTTTGTTTACATACCTGATTTACAACCCTGACTTCTACTGAAAACTTGATATATTACCTTTACCATTAAACTAAAGCCACCAGCTTTCATTCATGCTCAATAATGGCAATATTTAAAGAGCACTTTCTATGTAAAAGGCAGAAGTCTATGCGTTTTACTAGTAATACGCATCTTCATATTGATAACAGTTTGGGGACAGCTTTGTGCGTATCATTCGTGCTTTATAGCTGAGGAAAGAAAATCGAGGTAACTTTGCAAAGTGTAACACCTAGTAAATGGCGTGATGGCAACATTCAAACTGTTCTGCCCTTATATCTGTTTTGTATATTGCCTCTTCAGTATAAACAGTTGGCATGTGTGCCAATACACACTAGTAAACTTAGCACGGAAAAAGGCAAATGAGTAATATTTGAACACAGGTGGTGTAACAAATGTAAATTAAAAAAAAAATTAATGGCATCTTTTGAAATTAGATGGAAGCTTAAGAGCAGTCGATATTTGAAAGGATGGTATGAACAAATGACCTAAAGAAACTTAAGTTAAGTTACAATTTCCTCAACCTGGTGATCACAAATTCACTTGCATAAACACTTCTTAATGGGAAGCAAAATTGTTGTGGTCTCCACACAATCTATTAAGAAGTTCACAATATCACTGTTTTGATTCTAAAATTTGTATTTTTCATACAGAAATTGTTTAAAATCAGGTTGCATATCACAATTGATGTCTTCTTATAGTTAAAACTGATATACACATTTTCTTAGTGGTTGAGCAATTAGACCATGATACTTTCTGTAGTCCATGGTGTCTCGAAATCAATGAAATGTAGAATGTTACTTCATGGATTCACATAGCCTGTAGCAGGTTGAATAGTTTCCTCCAAAAATTCATGCCTACCTGAAACCTCAGAATGTGGCCTTATTTGGAAATAGAGTCTTTGCAGATGTAATCAGTTAAGGATCTTGCAATGAACTTGAATTGGATTTGAAATGGTCCCTAAATTCAATGACTAGTGTCCTTATAAGAGGAGGAGAGGATATAGAGAGACACAGAGAGAGAAAGGGAAGAAGGCCATGTGAAGATAAAGGCAGGGATTGTGATTATGCAAAAAAACACCAAGAGTGATCAGAGCTGGAAAAGGCAAAGAAGGATTCTCCTAGAACTCCCCTAGAGTGTGGCACCACCAGCCCCTTGACTTCAGACTTCTGGATATCAGACTTCAGGCTTTCCAGAATTGTGAAAGAATACATTCTTGTTTTAAACTATCTAGTTTGTGATCATTTGTTATAGTACCTTAGGAAACAGATACAACAACTTTCACTAATTCAAAACTGGTGGCAAGTTACAAAAGCCAAACCATTACAGTTTGAAAATGTATCAATATGAGAATAGTTATTTTTAAAAGGTAGCTTTTAAAATTTAAAATGCAGACTGCTTGGGGCTATGGGCACATGATGCAGTGTGCAGATGATGTTCTGTTGAGTTGCACAACTGAAACCTCTATGGTTTTGTGAACCAATGTCACTCCAATAAGTTCAATAAAAACTAAATGATAACAATAAAAATTAAAGTGTGTAAATAAAAAACAATAATTAAAATAAAATAATTTTTCTAGTCTCTCTACATGGTCCTACAGCAAATTGTCAAAAAGTTCATATCACAGTAAGGCATTTAAATTTTTATTTTATTAATAGAATTGGATTAGTGAGTAATTGTTATCTGTGAGGAAACATTGAACTATTCTCCCCAAATGTATTGTATTAGTAAACCCTGTAAACTTTTATTGCTGTACAAATGAAGCAAATAATCATCATTTTTAAACAAAATATTTTACATACTCTTGACTTAAAAGTATAAGGATACTTACGCTTCCTTTGCAAAAGAGTGGAAGCTAAGTAGCGATAGCTGATGTTGATGGTTCCTGAGAAATTAGATAAATCTTTGAAACTATGCATATAGCGTCCTGAATTCAGCTGATGTGTGGATGTTTCCCTTATAAGTTGTTTGTCTCCTTCCTGAATGCCAAGGAAGAGGCAGAAAAAATAAATGAATAATTGATGGTCATGGATTAAATAAGTTTCTCCTCATATATAATATGTATATCATATACATTTTAATATCTGGCACTACTGTAGGTCATTATTTCTCACCTGGATTCCTACCCAGAGCCTCTGCTCCAGCCTCTCTCTACTCTCTTCTGCTCTTGGTACTATGGGTTCATCTGCTTTTCTAGAGCATACATTTAAAATGGCATTATCTTCATTTAAAATATCTGCATGAAAACTCTCACTGCCTTCATGTTAAAATTTAAATTTTTTACAATTTTAGGTCCTTAAAATTTGACATTAATCTAGTCTACAGTTTTGTGTAAAACCAATTGCCACTAAATTCCCCATGTTTGAGTCCTACCCAGGTATTTACTTTTCTTCAAGCACGACCTCATAAAAGATCACACATTATTTCTGATTGGGACATTTTAGGTGTAATAAGGAAGATGCAGTACTAGATATGATAGTTAGATTTTGCATAATTTTTAAATCAAGAGATTTTAGTCAGTAACTTATTCAGCCACTACAATTGAAGGCTGTTGAGAATGTTGTGACATGGCAGTGTTTGATTCAAATATCTTTGAGACACCTCAATTAGAACACATTGTACAAAGTCAAGGAAATGTCTTCAGCTCTTGCATTAGTCTTTTCCATAATATGTCTGTTTGTTGTGCGCGTGCGCGTGTGTGTGTGGTATTCTATTGGAGGTGAAAAGTCTGATTTTTTTTTATATTTAAGATCCCTTTTATCTATTTGGTAATGGACTTATGTCATTCAGTCTCTGGGAAGGTTTATATTCAAGAAAATATATTCATATTTCATTAAAATATATCCTGTTAACCATTAATATCTTCCTTTTGTCTCTCTTTAAGTTCAATTGTATATTTCAATTATCTAATTGCCATTTGATCAAGACTCTATTGATTATACATTATTAGCAAAATGACAACTTGCTTTTATTTTATATATGATTTATTACATATAGAATATGTTTGGGGGCAACCTAATTAGAACAAAACTTTTTGGCAAGAAATCAACTGCACTGAGTGGTGTTTGTAGCTCTAATTCAACTATTGAACGTGAAATTGCAGGTCAGGCATGAGCAACCAGTTAACAAGAAAGTGGATGTATTAAATACATTTGCTTCTCATATTATTTGGCTGTGGTCAATAACACTTTGATTTGAAACCTTTCTTTTAAAAGATTAGTAACAATTAAAATACAAATTTTACCTAAATTGGAATATTTACTATTTTGTATCAAATTCAAATGTCAATGGAAAAGGTAACTCCACAAACTTGTAATTCTATGGCCAGACTAGTATTTGTTTAAAATTAAATTGGGAAATGTAGACCACAACAGGGAAGAAATTTCAACCTTGTTCTTGCTAAATCAAGATTCATTCTGATGATCTTTTCTGTATATTCAGTTCTGTTTATGAACCTATATTTGGTTTTTAACACTGTATTTCTGTATTTTATATTGCTTGATAATTTGGACAAAGAAAAATACTTTATTGTTTTAAAAATATTAATATAATGTATTTGCCATCTGTAAATTACAGATTTACAAATTATATGAGATTAAACCTTGGATGCTATATTTCTTATAAATACACTAATTAAATATACATTGCACCTGATTATTTAAAATTTTTTACATTTAAATATTTTCATCTTTGTCTTTCTGAAAACCTATAAAACATCATTAAAGTTTTAAAGTGAACAAATTTAGGATTGTCAAAAAGTAACTGGGACTCAGTTTAGCATCAACTACTTTAATGGTAATGTAATGGTGTCCATAATCAATACGGTCTAGTAGATATAGTTATAAAAATTACAGTAGTCACAATACTAAATTTATTTTACTATTCTGTTCTTATGTGATGTCACATTCTAAAGGAAGTGCAGGATATTGATAATCACTTTAAGAATTCTATCTTCAATATGTAAAAATTCAGATTTGTCTGTGATAAGATAGAATACATTCTTTCTGATTGAAGGACATAACAGAATAGAAAATAAAATGTATGTAAAATATCTATTAAATTCTTAAGAATAAGCTTTACAGCATCAATAGATAATGCATCTTTCACCTGAGTCAGCCTTGTTGCTCCTTTCCAGAGGTATATATCTGAACAACCAGACTCCCCCCTGGATACCTTCTTTCAGTAACTACTACGCTAGAGTGTATTTCTCAGTAATAAGACAAAGCTTTATGACAATCATTATCTGGATGGGAGTAAAATTCAATGGACTAGCTACAGGCTAAATTTATACCCTAGTGGCTACTTTCAAGATTCTCACAGCCCAGAAGCTAGGTTGATTGGGCATGGAGTGTCTCTTCTACTTAGTTTGCCTTATAATACTATTTGTCTCTTAAACTGAGTTCAGCTTCCATTCCCACTGAAAGGTGCATATGTCCCTAATATGTAAGCAAAACATGAAAATGTTATATGCCCAGGATTTCATGCCACCAATGCATTTTCTAGCAAAAAGAGCAGAATATATTTTGCCAAATAACTCCAGAGACCTTACTACTTCTAATTGTCTATCTGAATTCTCTGAATTATAACTATTATTTTCCCTGAAATAAGAAAGACAGGGAAAAAAAAAAGACTGATTAGCGTCTAAGCTTAGAAAATTGCATGTATTGTGGCATTTTGGAGTCAAGAAAAAAAAAAATCAAGTCAGATAATAGTTGTTTTTTTTTTTCTTTACTGATTTTAGAGGGAGAGGGAGAGAGAGATAGAAACATCCATGAGAGGGAACATCAATTGGATGCCTCCTACATGACCCCCACTGGGGATTTGGCCCACAACCTAGGCATGTGCCTTAACTGGGAATCGAACCAGCGACCTCTTGGTGCATGGTTCAGTGTTCAACCACTGAGCCACACCGGCCAGGCTCAAGTCAGATAATTGTATCAAAATGAAATAAACACAGATAAAAGTATCAAAAGGGAGAACTGTTAAAAAGCAACTGCATTATGTTCTAGTTGGGGACCACTATTCCATGGATATTAAACATTTTAGAAGAATTTTAACATAATTTTACATTAATGATTTAAAGAATGTTTCAAATATTTATACATATTAAGCAGTGAGATAAAATTTAGCTCAAAATGCAAATTAGGTAGAAAATATCATCTAGTAAATAGTGAAATATTAAACTAATAAATATAGTTTCATAGAATTTTTAATAATGGGGGTTCTTATACTTAAAAATAATTTTAACTTACTTTTTTGATGTTAATATGGTTAAAAATAATTTTAGGATTTAAAGATAAAAAGTAATTTCTTCTCGATATCTGGGCTAATTTACAAATTTGATCATACTGATATATGCTTGATATAGCCAGAGACAATTTCATTGAGAAAGTGCTGTTTGGTAAGAGACACTTCAATAAATCATACCTTTTACATTAGGTGGCTAGGACCTATGTTTATATACAAACATAAAAATTTATAAAATAGGCCTATAGTATGTGATCTTCTTATGGATATGTAGCATATTACTTTTTGTACACTTATAATTAATTTAAAGAGGTTTTATTACAAGAAGATATAAAGATGTTTGTAGTACACAATGATTCTTTGTCTGTTTAAAGTGAAACATTAAAATTGCACTTGAAAGTGTCTCATCAATGCAGTAAATCGACTACAAGCATCCTGCCAATAACGTGTTTGATTTACAAGATGTGATCTCCTTCTACCAATAGACACAGATGCAAGAAATACATTTTTATTGTAGAATTAAATCATTCATCTAGTTAATGTATGATCTTTCATTTTATCAAAAAAATTCGGTGGATTGCATAAACCTTTCTCTATTGTCCTTACTTCTCATAAACCTAATAATCGCGTATTTAAAAAATCCAAAATTATTATCAGTAGTAAGTTTCTCCAGTGCTCTGTTTACCTAAATCATGCCTAATCAAATTGTATTAGTCTGTGTTGATTTCAGCCATTGCGAAATGATTGAATGGTAGAATGAAGGGTCCACGAGATCAGGACCTGTACTGGAAGGTAAAAGGCCTAGGCAGAGTCAAGACAGGAATCCGGCAGAATTTCACCATTAAAGAAAAATACCATAGGAAGCAAAGCGCTTTACAGATGACCTTCTGAGAAGATCTGAAGGTCATACCGTTGCCTCATAGGATATAGAATAGTATCTGGAAAACAGCAGGTAGTTAATAAACCGTGTTTAATAAATGAAATAAACCATTTTATTGGTAAATGCTTTTTGTGGTTCTTTTCAGATTATGTCTTGCTAAAATAATAATGGAAAGTACTTTTCAGTCCTCTGTATGTCCATGGTTTTAATTTTCTGAAATATGTGAATAGGAATAATAACATAAAGATTAGGATTTTTCCAGATATCTTAAGCTCAGCTCAGATAGAAAAAGTGAGTAAGTGCCTGGTCGGTGTGGCTCAGTGGCTGAGCATCAAGCCATGAACCAATAGGTCGCTGGTTCGATTCCCAGTCAGGACACAGGACCAGGTTGTAGGCCAAATCCCCAGTGGGGGGCATGCAGGAAGATATTCTCCCTCATCGATGTTTCTCTCTCTCCTCTCCCTTCCTCTTTCTCTCTCTAAAATCAATATAGAAAAAACATTTTAAAAAATAAGAAAAAGTCAATAATAATGTCCATGTTATTATTATCTCACATAATATGATGTGCAATAATTACAACAACAATAAATAATTGAAACAATAAAGTTCTTACAATGAATCAGAATAAGACTTTTTTAATGTTTCCATAATTCGCCTAAAATTAATTCATGCATTATCTACTAATTTTACCTTTTATAAACTTCTATATTCTATATATTTTAACATCAATATCTTTTCTTTTTGAGGTTCCATATTACTTTTTAGTGAACATAAATATATAACATGCTGGCCTTATAGGGCTATTCAAAATCCAAATGAGGTGTCATGTACAGTAATAAAATACTACTTCTTAGCAAAATAGCATAATTAATATCATTAGTCATACAATAAGATTTTGTAAATATTAATGATACAAAAAAGTAGAGAAAGGTGTAATACCATTAAGCAAATTTTGTTTGTTCTATATATTTCAAATTAAAGCTCAAATATTGAAATCATTTTACATAAGAATAATTCATCCCTATGATAATAGCTAATTTATTTGTAATTAAATATACATATTTGAACCACAATATATGTAACATTAAAGAAATCATTGCTACGTACATAAAAATAATTGTGAAGTTAGTAATATATAATTAATACAAAAAGTAAGTTGATAGATAATATATATGTTATAAATTTGCTCAAACTAAGGCTATTCTAATAGCCTGGAATTGAAGTTTGATTACTAATGAACTAAGTCTAGTTTGACTTAGGCCTTATTTTAAACAAACAAACAAAAAAACAAATAAACAAAAATACCAACCTCCAAAACTTACCAGAACATAGCTATCTTCCATGTACAAGTTCATAAATAGAAGAAAAATTACAAGAACCCCCAAGAATGACACTGTAGAACGTTTTCGCAAGCATCTCATTTTATCCAGTTTTTCAAAAATATGTTTCACTTGATGAAATTTAAACATTCTCTCCTATAGAAAAGAGGCACAGAATTGCAAACAATTAATTTGGATGAAATTATTTCATCATATGTATCAAGAGCCAGGCCTTTATAAAATCCCACCCTTCAAATCTCTGACCTAAAATTATTTCCAGTTTCATGCATATGGTTGGCATAGATTATTAATACATCAGCATTAAGGTCAATGAGGAAGTTTATATTGATGTGGAGCAAATAAAAATGAAAAGGAAATCTCAGTTATTTCTTAATAAATGAATACTGGTAACAATAATAGAAGAAAACATAGGTCTTTAATAATAAACAGAACACAAAAGCAAAAAACAGGCATGTCAACTTTCATAGTGAGATATAACATTAAAGTAATATCTCCCTCCCCATAACATAATGTAATGAAAATGAAAGAAACCAGAGAACTATCAGCCTATAATATTCATCCCCTGATGTACTGAAGGTTCACTGAAAAGAGCTATTAAGTGGAAATCTGTAGGAAAGAAAGATAAGTCACAAAGGAAGCAAAGTTTTGAGTGTAAGTCCAAACACATATTTGAGAATTTCCAAGTGACAATTTTTTTTTTTTTGTCATTTCTCCCATAATTCTCATTAAATCAGAGGAGATCCTGAAGTGTTACATCGCATTCCTTCGCTTGATCTGTTGACTAGAAGTTTGGTTGTTTGTAATAAATTCATGAGCTGCAAAAACACAAAATTAAAGTCGGCAAGACTAGTAGAGACCTAATATTTTTCCATTTCGTTCTTCTTTGTTTTGTGATATCCTCCAATCACAGATGCATTTAGTTTAATGACGGTTTTTTAAAAAAGTATAAACAACAAAAATAAAATAATGAAAAAAAAGTATAAACATATCTGAAATGATCAAATAACCAGTTAAATTGTTTTGTCTAAAATTAAGAATAGTCTGGACATTGTGCCACTTTAACTTGTCTACTGGGTTTCCATGGGTTCATCTTTAGAATGAAGTATTTATGTGCATGAAGAACTTCAGGATGTGATGAAGACCTGTACCCCAAACCCTTAGAGTAATGTCTAGGACACAGCTGGCAATGTCTCTTTGATGAATCAATGCAAGAAATCATTTATGGATCCTTACAAACTATATAAAAGAACATTAGGATTGGGAGAAAGTTTTAACCAAGGTAAAGAGTAGAAGAATTCTAAAAAAAATTATAATAATTATTGTTTATTTTTTGAGCCATATTATTCTCCAGGGTTATTTTTATTTTTCTTCTTCATATGTAAACGTTTAAAATATATGTATATAAACACTCACATATATACAAATTATTGATTATATTGAAAATATCTAAATATTTTTCCCAAGTATTTCTTTTATTTTTATTTTTTTGGTATGACTTTAGAAGTATAATGTTTTTGACTCAAATTTATTTCATGAATGTGGGATTGTTTTGTATGATGTTTAAAAATCCTACCCTTTTTTGATGTTGCATGGAAAGTCTCCTTTATTATCTTCTGGATTTGTTTTTATATGGGTAGATTTTTAATAGACTTGGAATTGATCTTTGTGTCTTTTATGAGGTAGTGGAAAAATTTCGTCTTGTTTTTTTTCTATATGGAGAGCTGATTTTCTTCTGCCCACAGTTCATTGGCCATAACAACTGGTCACATCACAACTTCTAACTTCAAGGGTATGGGCAAGTGTAATCTCCAGTGCAACCAAAAATGGAGAACTGGATATTGGTAAACACTAATATTGTATTCCATGCCTTATTTTAAAGTATCTATTCTTTCCTTTTGATATGTAAGGCCACTACAAGAATAGTAGTATCACTTTCACTTTGTATTTATGGGTCAAAAATGTATTTACAGACTCATCATTTACAACCTTCTTTCCTTTTTAAAATTTTATTTTTTAATTGTAGTTTACGTTCAATATTATTTGCTCTTAGTTTCAGGTGTATAGCACAGTAACATAGTAGTTAGACAATCACGTCCTTTACAAAGTGCTCCCCTTCATATTTCCAGTACCCACGTGGCATTATACATAGTTATTATAATATTATTGACTATATTCCCTATGCTGTACTTTATATCCCTGTGACTATTTGTAATTACCAATTTGTACTTCTCAATCTCTTCCCTCAATCCCCCAACTCCCCATCCCTCTGGTAACCACCAGTCTGTTCTTTATACCTATAAATTTGTTTCAATTTTATTTATTTTTTTTCTTTAGGCTTGACATATAAGTGAAATCATATGGTATTTGTATTTCTCTGACTGACTGATATCACTTAGCATAATACCCTCTGGGTCCACCCATATTGTAGCAAAGGGTAAAAATTCATTCTTTTTATGGTTAAATAATATTCCATTGTATATATGTACCATTGCTTTTTTATTCACTCATCTATTTATGTACACTAAGGTTGCCTCCATATGTTGACTATTGTAAATAATGCCACAGTGAACACAGGAGTGCATATATTTTTTGAATTAGTGTTTTGGGTTTCGTCAGATATATTCCCAGAAGTGGAATCACTAAGTCACAAAGCACTTCCATTTTTAATGTTTTGAGCAACCTCCATAGTATTTTTTATAGTGGCTGTACCAATCTGTGTTCCCACCAACAGTGCATGAGGATTTCTTTTTTTCCACATCCTTGCCAGCACTTGTTTGCTGAGTTATTGATGATAGTTATCTTGACGAGTGTGAGATGATATCGCATTGTGGTTTTAATTTTCATCTCTCTGATGTTTACTGACGTTCAACATCTTACATATGTCTACTTGCCTTCTATATTTCCTCTTTGGAGAAGTGTCTATTCAGGTCCTTCCCCCATTTTTTCATTGGGTGATTGTTCTATTGGTGTTGAGTTGTATGAGTTCATAAACTTTGGATATTAACACTTATTGGATGTATCATTGGCAAATATCTTTTTCTACTCAGTAGTTTATCCTTTCATTTTGTTGATGGTCTCCTTTTCTGTGAAAAAAGTATTTAGTTGGATGTATTTCCATTTCTTTATTTTGCCTAGGGAACAAGACAGGGATGCCCACTTTCACCACTCTTATTTAACATAGTACTGTAAGTCTTAGCCACAGTAATTAGCCATGAAAAAAAAAATAAAGGGGATCCAAATTGGAAAGGAGGAAGTAAAACTGTCATTATTTGCGGATGACATGATATTGTACATAAAAAACCCTAAAGACTCCATCAAAAATCTACTAGACTTAATAAATGAATTTGGCAAAGTAGCAGGATACAAAATTAACATCAAGAAATTGATGGCATTCTTATACACCAATGATGAACTCACAGAAAGAGAAACTAAAAAACAATACCATTTACTATTGCAGCAAAAAAATTAAGATACCTAGAAATAAACAACCAAAGAAACAAAGGACCTCTTCACAGAAAAGTACAGGTCATTGAAAAAAGAAATAGAGGAAGATATGAAAAAGTGGAAGCATATACCAATTCATGGATTGGAAGAATTAACATCATTAAAATGTCCATACTACCCAAAGCAATCTATAGATTAAATGCAATCCCCATCAAAATACCAATGACATATTTCACAGAATAGAACAAACACTCCAAAAGATTATATGGAACCAAAAAAGACCCTGAAAAGCCACAGCAGTCTTAAAAAAGAGAAACAAAGTAGGAGGATCACATTACCAGATTTCAGGTTATATTACAAAGCACTGTAATCAAAACATCCTGGTACTGGCACAAGAACAGGCAGATAGATCAGTGGAACAGAATAGAGAACCCAGAAATTGACCCAGACAATATGCTCAATTAATATTTGACAAAGGTGGCAAGAACATACAGTGGAGTCAAGATAGTCTCTTCAATAAATGGTGTTGGGAAAATTGGACAGCTACTTGCAAAAAAATGAAGCTATACCGCCAACTTAAACCATACACAAGAATAAACTCAAAATGGATAAAAGACTTAAATGTGTAATAATTGCAACAATAAATAATTGAAACAATAAAGTTCTTACAATTAATCAGAATAAGACTTTTTTAATGTTTCCATAATTCGCCTAAAATTAATTCATGCATTATCTACTAATTTTATCTTTTATAAACTTCTATATATTTTAACATCAATATCTTTACTTTTTGAGGTTCCATATTACTTTTTAGTGAACATAAATATATAACATGCTGGCCTTATAGGGCTATTCAAAATCCAAATGAGGTGTCATATACTATAATAAAATACTACTTCTTAGCAAAATAGCATAATTAATATCATTAGTCATACAATAAGATTTTGTATTGTATGCTCAATCCAATCAGCCACATTGGCCAGGCTTGCTGCCCATTTTTTAAATTGGATTGCTTGTTTTACAAAAAAGTTATTGAGCCCAGCAGGTGTGGTTCAGTGCTTGAGCATCGACCCATGCACCAAGAGGTCGCCGGTTTGATTCTTGGTCAGGGCACATGCTCAGGTTGTGGGCCTGATACCCAGTGGAGGGCATGCAGGAGGCAGCCAATCAATGTTCTCTCTCATCGATGTTTCTCTCTCTCCCTCTCCCTTCAAAATCGATAAAGAAAAAAAGTTATTGATTTGTATGAGTTCTTTATATATTTTGAATATTAATCCCTTATTTAATATATGGTTTGCAAATATTTAATTAATCCTAGTCAGTATACTGCCATTTCATTTTGTTGATTGTTTCATTTGTGTACTATGCAAAAGCTTATAAGTTTAATGTATAGTCATGAGTTGCTTAACATTTTAATCAATGAAGAACTACATGTATGATGGTGACCCCATAAGATTATAACAAAACTGAAAAACTCCTATTGCCTAGTGATGTTATAGCTATTGGGACTGACTGCATCATGCAACACATTACTCTTGTGTTTGTGGTGATGCTTCTATAAACAAACCTACTGTGCTGACAGTGATATAAAAGTATAGCTCATACAGTTATATACAGTACATAATACTTAACAATAATAAACAACTATAACTGGTTTATGCTTCTACTTACTACAGTTTTTATCATTATTTTATAATGT